GGGCACTGAATGAAAATAACTTCAACCCCAGGATACTCTACCCAGCAAAGCTATCATTCAAAATAGATGGAGCAATAAAAGTCTTCCATGATAAGCAGAAACTAAAACAATATGTGACCACAAAGCCACCATTACAAAAGATTCTGCAAGGGATCCTGCACACAGAAAGTGAACCCAACTTAACCATGAAAAGGCAGGCAGCACCAAACCACAGGAAAGAAAAAGCAAGACAGTAGAGAGTAACATCAAGTTAGGTACACACAATCAAACCTTCAAACAACTAAGACAACTAAATGGCAGGAATCACCACATACCTATCAGTACTAACACTTAATGTTAATGGACTTAATTCACCCATCAAAAGACACCGTTTGACAAAATGGATTAAAAAGAAGATCCAACAATTTGTTGCTTACAGGAGACTCATCTCACCGACAGAAATAAGCATATGCTTAGGATGAAAGGCTGGAAGAAGATTTACCAAGCCAATGGCCCCGAAAACAAGCAGGAGTAGCAATACTTATCTCTGACAAAGTAGACTTCAAACCTACATTGATCAAACGAGATAAAGAAGGACATTCCATACTAATAAAAGGGGAAATAGACCAAAAGGAAATAATAATCATCAATCTGTAGCACCCAATGTCAACGCACCCAATTTCATCAAACATACCCTGAAAGACCTAAAAGCATATATAAACGCCAACACAGTGGTTGTGGGAGACTTTAACACTCCATTATCATCAATAGATAGGTCATCCAAACAAAAACTCAATAAAGAAATCCAAGATCTAAAATATGCAATAGATCAAATGGACCTAGTAGATGTCTACAGAACATTTCATCCAACCTCTACACAATATACATTCTTCTCAGCAGCCCATGGAACCTTCTCCAAAATAGATCATATCCTAGGGCACAAAGCAAGCCTCAGCAAATATAAGAAAATAGAAATAATACCGTGCATACTATCTGACCACAATGCAGTAAAAGTAGAACTCAACAACAAAAGTAAAGACAAAAAACATGCAAACAGCTGGAAACTAAATAACTCATTACTTAATGAAGAATGGATCATCGATGCAATAAAAGAGGAAATTAAAAAGTTCCTGGAAGTCAATGAAAATGAAAACACAACCTACCGGAACCTATGGGACACAGCTAAGGCAGTCTGAGAGGAAAGTTTATAGCCATGAGTGCATATATTAAAAAGATTGAAAGATCCCAAATCAATGACCTAATGATACATCTCAAACTCCTAGAAAAACAAGAACAAGCAAATCCCAAAACAAATAGAAGGAGAGAAATAATAAAAATAAGAGCTGAAATCAACGAAATAGAAACCAAAAAAACCATACAAAGAATTAATGAAACAAAAAGTTGGTTCTTTGAAAAAATAAACAAGATCGATAGACCCCTGGCAAACCTGACTAAAATGAGGAGAGAAAAAACCCAAATTAGTAGAATCAGGAATGCAAAAGGGGAGATAACAACAAACACCATGGAAGTCCAGGAAATCATCAGAGACTACTTTGAGAACCTATATTCAAATAAATTTGAAAATCTAAAGAAATGGACAGATTTCTAGATACATATGATCATCCAAAACTGAACCAAGAGGAAATTAATCACCTGAATAGACTATAACACAAAATGAAATTGAAGCAGCAATCAAGAGTCTCCCCAAAAAGAAAAGTCCAGGACCTGATGGATTCTCTGCTGAATTCTATCAGACCTTTAAAGAAGAACTGATACCAACCCTCCTTAAACTGTTCCATGAAATAGAAAGGGAAGGAAAACTGCCAAACACATTTTATGAAGCCAGTAGATTAGTAGAATCAGAATGCAAAAGGGGAGATAACAACAAACACCATGGAAGTCCAGGAAATCATCAGAGACTACTTTGAGAACCTATATCAAATAAATTTGAAAATCTAAAAGAATGGACAGATTTCTAGATACATATGATCATCCAAAACTGAACCAAGAGGAAATTAATCACCTGAATAGACCTATAACACAAAATGAAATTGAAGCAGCAATCAAGAGTCTCCCCAAAAATAAAAGTCCAGGACCTGAGGGATTCTCTGCTGAATTCTATCAGACCTTTAAAGAAGAACTGATACCAACCCTCCTTAAACTGTTCCATGAAATAGAAAGGGAAGGAAAACTGCCAACACATTTTATGAAGCCAGTATTACACTTATCCCAAAACCAGGCAAAGACACCTCCAAAAAGGAGAACTATAGGCCAATCTCCTTAATGAACATTGATGCAAAAATCCTCAACAAAATAATGGCAAACCGAATTCAACAACACATCAAAAGATTATTCACCACGACCCAGTAGGCTTCATCCCAGGATGCAGGGGTGGTTCAACATACGAAAATCAATAAACGTAATAAACCACATTAACAGAAGCAAAGACAAAAACCACTTGATCATCTCAATAGATGCAGAAAAAGCCTTTGATAAGATCCAACACATTTCATGATAAAAGCTCTAAGAAAACTAGGAATAGAAGGAAAGTTCCTCAACATTATAAAGCTATATATGACAAACCTACAGCCAGCATTATACTTAATGGAGAAAAATGAAACCATTCCTCTAAAATCAGGAACCAGACAAGGATGCCCACTATCTCCACTCCTATTCAACATAGTACTGGAATTCCTAGCCAGAGCAATTAGGCAAGAAGAAGGAATAAAAGGAATACAAATAGGTAAAGAAACTGTCAAAATATCCCTATTTGCAGACGACATGATCCTATACCTTAAAGACCCAAAAAACTCTACTCAGAAGCTTCTAGACATCATCAATAGCTATAGCAAGGTAGCAGGATATAAAATCAACATAGAAAAATCATTAGCATTTCTATACACTAACAATGAGCAAACGAAAAAGAATGTATGAAAACAATTCCATTTACAATAGCCTCAAAAAAATCAAATACCTAGGTGTAAACCTAACAAAAGATGTGAAAGACCTCTACAAGGAAAACTATAACTTCTGAAGAAAGAGATTGAGGAAGACTATAGAAAGTGGAGAGATCTCCCATGCTCATGGATTGGTAGAATCAACATAGTAAAAATGTCGATACTCCCAAAGTAATCTACATGTTTAATGCAATTCCCATCAAAATTCCAATGACATTCATTAAAGAGATTGAAAAATCTACTGTTAAATTTATATGGAAACACAAGAGGCCACGAATAGCCAAGGCAATACTCAGTCAAAAGAACAATGCAGGAGGTATCACAATACCTGACTTCAAACTATATTACAAAGCAATAACAATAAAAACAGCATGGTACTGGCACAAAAACAGACATGAAGACCAGTGGAACAGAATAGAGGACCCAGATATGAAGCCACACAACTATAACCAACTTATCTTTGACAAAGGAGCTAAAAATATACGATGGAGAAATAGCAGCCTCTTCAACAAAAACTGCTGGGAAAACTGGTTAGCAGTCTGCAAAAAACTGAAACTAGATCCATGTATATCACCCTATACCAAGATTAACTCAAAATGGATCAAGGATCTTAATATCAGACCCAAACTCTAAGTTGATACAGGAAAGAGTAGGAAATACTCTGGAGTTAGTAGGTATAGGTAAGAACTTTCTCAATGAAACCCCAGCAGCACAGCAACTAAGAGATAGCATAGATAAATGGGACCTCATAAAACTAAAAAGCTTCTGTTCATCAAAAGAAATGGTCTCTAAACTGAAGAGAACACCCACAGAGTGGGAGAAAATATTTGCCAACACATCAGACAAAGGACTGATAACCAGAATATACAGGGAACTTAAAAAACTAAATTCTCCCAAAACTAATGAACCAATAAAGAAATGGGCAAGTGAACTAAACAGAACTTTCTCAAAAGAAGAAATTCAAATGGCCAAAAACACATGAAAAAATGCTCACCATCTCTAGCAATAAAGGAAATGCAAATTAAAACCACACTAAGATTCCACCTCACCCCTGTTAGAATAGCCATCATCAGCAACACCACCAACAACAGGTGTTGGCGAGGATGCGGGGAAAAAGGAACCCTCTTACACTGTTGGTGGGAATGTAACTAGTACAACCACTCTGGAAAAAAATTTGGAGGCTACTTAAAAAGCTGACATCGATCTACCATTTGATCCAGCAATACCACTCTTGGGATATACCCAAAAGACTGTTACTCCAGAGGCACCTGCACACCATGTTTATTGCGGCACTATTCACAATAGCCAAGTTATGGAAACAGCCAAGATGCCCCACCACTGACGAATGGATTAAGAAAATGTGGTATCTATACACAATGGAATTTTATGCAGCCATGAAGAAGAACGAAATGTTATCATTCGCTGGTAAATGGATGGAATTGGAGAACATCATTCTGAGTGAGGTTAGCCTGGCCCAAAAGACCAAAAATCGTATGTTCTCCCTCATATGTGGACATTAGATCAAGGGCAAACACAACAAGGGGATTGGACTATGAGCACATGATAAAAGCGAGAGCACACAAGGGAGGGGTGAGGATAGGTAAGACACCTAAAAAACTAGCTAGCATTTGTTGCCCTTAATGCAGAGAAACTAAAGCAGATACCTTAAAGCAACTGAGGCCAATAGGAAAAGGGGACCAGGAACTAGAGAAAAGGTTAGATCAAAAAGAATTAACCTAGAAGGTAACACCCATGCACAGGAAATCAATGTGAGTCAATGCCCTGTATAGCTATCCTTATCTCAACCAGCAAAACCCCTTGTTCCTTCCTATTATTGCTTATACTCTCTCTACAACAAAATTAGAGATAAGGGCAAAATAGTTTCTGCTGGGTATTGAGGGGGGGAGCGGAGGGGGAGTGGGTGGTAAGGGAGGGGGTGGGGCAGGGGGAGAAATGAACCAAGCCTTGTATGCACATATGAATAATAAAAGAAAAAAAAAAAAAAAGAAAGGAACCCAAGATAAAATAATTTTAAAAAACACATCCAGGAAAAAGCTCCTCCTCACTGTTACACCAGGAAGGCTGTGTTTTGAAGTTTCTCCCCACAGTTTGGCTTGGGTTAAGATGTTTTTCTAAGTAAGACAAGAATCATTCTTATGAGTTCTTCATTGGAAGAGGAAGAAACAAACTGTCACACACCTGGCTAGAGTTGCTGTTATTGTTTTCATGTTAGTTTGTTTCAAACTCTGCTTATTACCTGCATGGACATCAGAAGAGCAGGATGAAGAATTGAATCCCACGGAGCTAAGAGACTCACTGCTGGCCTCCTGGCTGGGAGGCAGCACATAATCTCTTAGGTCATAAGCTGATGGTAGATCCAAAACACAGCTCTCCTCTGATTGGCTGCCTGGACTGGCTTCCTGGGCTGCCATAGTCCTGCTACAGAAACAATAAAAACAATTCAACACAACAGGCACTATGCAGCAGGTACCTTCATTACAGCCACAGCCTGAAGAATCTTAAAACAACAGCAAGCCAGAAAAATTCCCTTTCCACTGACCAGTATGTGTTTACCATGTTTTTGGTTTTTGTTTTTTGTTTTTGGGGGTGGGGGTGTTGTTTGTTTTGAGACAGGACCTCATTATGTAGCTCAGGCTGGCCTTTAACTCTCTATATAGCTCAGACTAGCCTCCAACTGGTGCTCTTCTTGTCTCTACCTCCCGAACGCTAAGATTACAGGCATGTACCACCATGCCCAGCTACCATGTTTTCTTCACCATGAGAAACCATTAACAATTTCAGCTGGAAAATAGGCTGCATGTCTAAAAAAGGTTCAATCAGAACATTTCCCCAGTGAAAAACTGTGTAGAACTAATTCAAGGGCTATAAGAATATTTTATGAGGTTGAAGATGTAGCTCAGAGGTAGATTGTTTGCCTACCATATGTGAGGTCCTGAATTCAATCCTCAGTACCAAAAAAAGAAAAAAACATTTGATGAGAAGGGAAAATGCTTATAATATATTGAATGTAAAAAGGTTTAAAAATAATAGGTAGGGCTTGATTCAGATTTTACAAAATAAAATGCTGTACATGTATGAAATATAGACAAAAAGCTAGAGGCAGAAAATCTAGAAGGGTATATCCCAAAGTAATTTCAGTACCTATCTGAGAAGTGAGATTACAGGTGATTTGTATTTTCCTTTATGGCCCACACAAACATGTTGTCGGTCAATTAGCTGACATACCAGATTTGGTGGCAGGCATAGGGTATACAAAGGTGAAAGTCATAAACCATTCCCTTCAAGAAATTCATAGTTTTGGATAGTATAAACACAGATACACTGGCAATGAGTCAAAACAGGAAAAAGCCGAAAAAAGGGAAGTAGACTTTCTGGAAGAATTTATCCCTACCATGGGGCAGGCCAGGCCAGGCCATGACCATAGCCAAAGCAAAGCAAGAACGCAAGAAGAACCAGTTTGGATAACAAGTGTCATGGGGTATTAGAAGTTTAAAATCAGAGTCAAGGGCTGGAGGTATGCCTCAAGTGGTAGAGTGCTTGCCTAGCAAGCAGTCCTGAGTTCAAACCCCAGTACCACCAAAAAAAAAAAAAGAAGGTAAAGTGGGAGGAGCGACTCAAGTGGTAAAGTGCCTGTCTAGCAAGCATGAGGCCCAGAGTTCAAACCTCAATACCACCAAAAAGGAGGGGGAAAACTAAAAGGAAAATAGAATTTAATAACTGAATGGAGAAAGGGATTAAAGAGGAGCTGGGAGTCAATGAGTAGAGAGTTTTGGTAACTTGGTAGTAGTATCAACTGAGCTAGAGAGGACAAGAGAAAGAAAAGATTTGGTACTAGTAGATTAGTACTCCAAATTAAGGAATATTGTACAATTTTAAAATGACAGAACTTGACAGATTTCAAAGACATCTGTTTGAATGAAATAAGCAATTTCAGAATAATGTGAGCAGTGTAAAAGTAAGAGTAGTTCACATACAGCCAGTGCTTGCTAGATGCCAGCTACTGTGTGCTTCACCTGCAATAACCCCACAAGGCGGGTAATCCTATTATTACCCTCATTCACAGTCAGGCCAGAACCCTGGGAGAAGCACCTTGCTCAAGAAATCACATCCAGAAAGCAGCCACCATAGTATGTGCCCCAGCTTGAAGGCCCCCAAGCCCCCTCTGCGTCTGAACACCCTCAATGCTGCAGCCCATGTTACCCTGACCAGGCAAAGAGAGGAAGAATGCAAAAGCAAGTCAACACAGAAGCCTGGCCAGATCATTCTTGTTTGAGGACACCCAGTTACATGCTATCGTGGACACTTGTTCAGCAGAGGGCGAGCCAAGATATCAGCTGACTGCTCCAGGAAGGAGTGGAATGATGAAGTTCCCAAAAAAGCAAGAACACCCTGTTTTTTCACACATGCTGTATTAGCCAACCAAGCCTGAAGTCTCACCAAACACCTCTGCAAGAGACACCTTTGGCTCTCCCTTCTCCTGTTACCTAATACTCTGCTCTGGAGGCTCCTGGAAGGGAATAAACAGGTCATTGAATAATAATATCACTATATCCTGCCTGCCTTCAAAGATGCCTTGAAATGAAAGCAAATAGCATGCTTTGTTACAGGTTTACTTTTAGAACCACTTATATTAAATGCTAAATTCTTAAATTCCAAACTTGAGGGGGGAAAAGGGAAGAAAGGGAGAACAACCCTACAAAAAGTAGAATCTTTTTTATTACAAAATAGTATCTGTGCATCTCCTTCTCAGCACATTATTTAGAACTCAGTGAATTTGTATAAAAGAAAACAAGCAATGGGATAGATAAGCCCCTTCCTGTGGTCTGAAACAACCTGGGCTGGCAGGTAGAATGCAATGATTGTCCTTGGAGCCAAACCCTTTGATGTATGGTTCAAGTTCCCTTGTTTTTGTTTTTTGATGGGACTGAGATTTCAATCCAGGGCTTTGTACTTGCAAAGCAGGAGCTCTACCACTTGAGCCATGCCTCCAGTCTATTTTGCTCTGGCTATTCCGCAGATGGGGTTGTGAACTACTTTCCTGGGCTGGCCGCAAACCACAACCCTCACAATCTCAGCTTCTCAAGTAGCTAGGATTACAGTATGTGCAAGGCCCTGGATTCCATCCTCAGGACCAGAAAAAAAAACAAAACAAAACTTTATACAATCTAAACATCCTTTTCCAATACTGGAAGTTTAGGATAGGATGCCCTGGGCACAAGGATACAGGAAGTCTCCAAGTACATAAAAGCCTGCTTACCAGCAGAAGGTAGCCATTGTTCTATTACCCTATAGATGCCTACAAACCTACAAATATAAGTTATTTGGATCCATGGAGTTGACCCAACTTCAATTAATTTGTTTTCAATAGCCGTTTCCCTCCAATATTTTACATGAAAAAATTCAGATGTAAAGAAAAACGTTCAGAATTGCACAATGGGGGCTGGAGATGTAGCTCAGTGGTTGAATTGTCTGCCTAGCACGCACAAAGCCCTGGGTTCAATCCTCTGTACCACACACACACACACAAAAGTTACAGCTATTATCTAGACTTCTAAATTAACATTTTACTGACTTGCTTCATTTCATAACTACTGATCTATCCAACTCGGTAATCATCCATCAACCACCATTTTATTTTATTTTTTTTAATATAAGGTCTCACTATGTAGCCCAGCCTTGAATTTGTGATATTTCTGCTTTAGCCTCCCAGTTCTCCCAAGTCTGCACCACCACACCCAGCCATCTTATTTTTTAATAGATATTTTCATTTAAATCTTAAGATAGTGAAAGCTTCTGTGTTGTAGTGCAATGTGATCAGTTTACATTCTCACATACTCCATTCCTGGTTAGAGACCTAGGTGGACCGTAGTGACACACACGCATACATCCATATATAAAGAGAGAATAATGAATAAATGAGACAAACAGACAATTGGAAAATCTAGAAAATGTTAGTTAGGAGCTCTTTGTACTAGTCTAGCAATTTTTTGAAGTTCCTTGCACTATTCTACAATCTTTTGAAGGTATAAAATTATGTAAAAAATTATATTTAAAAAATGTAAAATTATGGCCCAGAGTGTGGTGTACAACCATAATCCCAGATACACGGGAAGCTGAACCAGGAAGATTGCAAGTTTGAGGCCGGCCTGGGCAATTTAGCAAGTCCCTGTCACAAATAAAATTTAAAAGGGCTGCAGTTAGCCGAAAGATGGTGGTTCACACGTATACTCCTAGCTATATGGGAGATGGAGATCAGGAGGATGGAGGTTAGAACCCAGCCCTGGCAAACAATTCACGGGACCATATCTCAAAAATACCCAATACAAAAAAGGGCTGGTAGAGTGGCTCAAGTGGTATAGCGTCTGTCTAGCAAGCATGAAGCCCTGATTCAAGCCTCAGTGCCACCAAAATAAAAAAAGTTTTTATTCAGATTATTCTCCTATCCTTCACCTCTAATTGGATTTCCTTGAGGGACTGTCCACAGCTCTCTTCTTTCCTTTCTTCCTTTGAAAAATTAAGTGCCACCCACAAACTTTTCTCTAGCTCAGATTCCCCAATCTCAGCTTGCACATCAGGTACCCACATCCTTTCCCTGTTTCAGGCATAATGGTTTTCACTCAGGTTCTCCTATAAATCCTGCTTTCTCCCACTCCATTTGTCCTTCCCTCCAACCTGAGAGCATCTCCCTCCCCTGGATTATGCTTCTAAAAACTGAAAGAAGAGGGGCCACTTCTCAATTTACTCAATGCGTCCAGAATTACACTGACTGCAAAACAGCAAAAAGACATAAGAAAAGTACTAATCTGTACTTCTCTGACAAGGACACAAAAATTCTTGGCAAAATACTAGCAAACCAAATCTATCAACATATAAAAAAGATTATACTCCAAGGTCTAGGGATGGAGCTCAGTTGTAAAGCTTGTGCACCAGGTCCTGTGTTCAACAACAGCATCCACCTATCCTCCCACACACACATATACAAAGAAAAGGATTAAACCCCCATGGCTAATACCAGAAATCCAAAGTTTTGGGGTTTTTTGTGTTTGTTTTTGGTGGCACTAGGGTTTAAACACAGGGCTTCATATTAGAAAGATAGGCACTCTACCACATAAGCCACGCTTCCAGCCTTGTCTCTATAATATTTAACACGTTCATAGCAGTTTTATTCACAGTAGCAAAAAACAAAAGCAACCCTACATCCATCAACTGATTACCAGATAAAAACAGGGTATATGCTTTCAATGGAATATTGTTCAGCAATAAAAAGAATGAAGTTAAAAAAAAAAAAAAGAGAGAATGAAGTTCTGATTCAACCTACAAGGACAAGCTCTGAAACACCGTATATAGTGAAAGACGTTGATCACACTGTTCAAATTGCAGATATCAGGTGTCCAAATTTAAAAATCTATAGTCAGAAAGTACATGGGTTTTTGCTTAGGACTGGGGAGGGGGGGTCAGTGGTGACTGGAGAGTGATGCTACTGGGTACGAGAATCCACTGTATTACTGTGAATCACGGGGTTTTCTTGGCTTGATGAAAATATTCTAAAGTTAGATTGTAGTGATGGATGTGCATTTTTCTTTTCTTTTTTTTTTTTTTTCAGTACCAGGGCTTGAACTCAGGGCCTACACCTTGAGCCACTCCACCAGTCCTTTTTGTGCTAGGTATTTTCAAAAGTCTCGCGAAGTGTTTGCCGGGCTGGCTTCGAACCACGATCCTCCTGCTCTTTGCCTCCTGAGTAGCTAGGATTACAGGCGTAAACCACAGGCGCCCGGCTTGGATGTACAAGTCTGTGAATGTACAAAACTCACTGGATTTTAAACGTTAAGTAGGCGAGTTTTATGCTATGCGAATAAAAATGTCTTAATAAGTCTATTTTTAAAAAAGAAGAACTAAAACTAATCCACACCTACTGCTTGTAAACTGCAGCGATTTCCCCAAAGCTGAGGCTGCGATGGCCTTCCGTAGAGGCGGAGGGGCGTGGGGGCCGACGGGAAATGGCTGTGGCGCGGAGAGAGCGACAGGACGACGCCTCACCCCGGTCCTGCTCCCTTCCCACCGCACTGCTGAATCGATGGAGAAAACTAACGCAGAAAAGCCGCCGGGCTGTTACACTCACCGCCACACACAGCAAGAGCCCGGAACCCGGAAGCGGCGAAAAGTGAGGTTTGAAAGGAAGTCGTGGAAACCATCTTTGCTGCTGGCAAGCAAGGGCAATGGAAGGCAGTAGCAGCCATCTTACTTTAGGGCATTTGCCCACGCACGTGGGTAGTTTGGGCAATTTGTAGGGGACGCTTTTTGGTTAATGCCCTTGGTGGACACTAAGGTAACAGGAGGAAAAAAAAAAAGAAAAAAGGTAAATGCCTTCATTAAAAAAAAAACAGGACTAGAGGTGTGGCTCAAGTGGCAGAGTGCCTGCTTTACAAGTGTTAAGCCCTAAATTCAAACCCCAGTGCTGCCAAAAAAAAAAAAAAAGTCTATGCCGGGCGACAGTGGTTTATACCTGTAATCTTAGTTACTCGTAGGAGGCAGAGATGAGGAGGATCACGGTTCAAAGCCAGCCTGGGCAAATAGTTTGTAAGACCCTATCTGGAAAAGCCCTTCCCAAAAATAGGGCTGGTGGAGGGTGCAAGGTGAAGGCCTTCACTTCAAGCCCAAGTACCGCAAAAAAAAATACAAAAGCGGGGAAGCTGGGTGTGGAGGGGCACATCCCAGCATAAATAAAGCTGAGGCTGAAAGATTATGAGTTCAAGGCTAGGCTGGGCTACATACCAGGTTCCTGGCCAGACTGGACTTACATGGTAAGACCCTGCCTCAAAGGCGAGACAGACGCGGGAGGGGAGGGGTGGTATAGGTCTCAAGCTTAGGGTGTTTGACTCCTCAGCCCTCGATGGCAGCTAATATTATCACTCATAGGCCTAGGGTGTCTGGGATCTTGGCCTTCTAGAACTCTCCCAGCAATCAAGGCCCACAGTTTCTCACCTTCACCTCTTCACAGCCCTTATTGTCTCCATGCCTCTGCTCCCCATTGTTTCTGCCCTGGCTGCTCTCTAAAACTCTTCAGCTGCCCTCTTGTCACTACTGCCACTGTAGTGCCAGGATGGCAGCTGCAGCCACCTCTGTCACTGCTGCTGCCTTTGCTGGCACTATAGGTCTGCTGTCACTTTTGCTGTCTACTCTTTGTGTTACCAGCTCAGCCCACTCGACTATTGACAAAGATCAAAAGAAGCCTTTTGATCAGTCAAGAGAAGCCTTTTACCCGGGAGTAGTGGCATATGACTGCAATTCCACTCTCGGAAGGATGTGAATGTGAGGTCAGCCCAGGCTACATAGGGAGACCCTCTCTCCCCCCATTCCCACCCCCTAAAAAAGAGAGAGAACCATTTTTATTGGGCCTAATGTTGCAACATCAGAGGACAGACAGCACAGGAAAGTGTCTCCTGGCAGGCATGAAAGAAAAATGAGCCAAACAGACTGCTTATATTGCCAGAAAAGGGGTGTGGCAAGGGTGTCTGCACCAATCATAGGCCTTCTGCTGGGCCACCAGGGACAGTGCTCTCCCTCTGGTCTGGGTGAAAATTTCTTCAGGGTCAGAGCCAGCCTCAGACAGGGATCCTCCTACCTATGATTCCTGTGTAGCTGGAATCATAGGTGCATACCACCATGGTGGGCTTGATGGTTGAGATGTGTCTCACTAACTTTTTCCACAGGCTGTTCTCAAGCCAGAATTCTCCTGATTTCTGCCTCCCAAGTAGCTAGGATTGTAGATATGTACCATCATGCCTGGCCCACCCTTGGTTTTCTGAGACAGGGTCTCACTATGTAGCCCAGGTTAGTCTCATACTCATGATCCTCCTGATCTGCCTCCCAAGTGCTGGTATTACAAGACTGTGCCCCCATACCTGGCATCAGTAACAAATACCTTTGAGTGATGTTCTCAAAAGTAGTATCACATTGCTAAGACTTAGCCAGTACACAGGGACTTGATGGAACTTGCCAGGAACTACTGGCTTCAGCTGGTTTTATCAATTGCTTTTGAGTCTCCAAATGATTTTACTGTCATTATCTTTAATGATGACCTTCTGATATAAGGAAAGAAGGACCTTCTTATCCTCCATGCTGGTTAAACCCCAGGTTGAACCACATCAAAATGACTGAAAACTGAATTACTGAACCTGCCCTCTCCTCCACACATCATGACCTGTAGCATGCAGTGTAGTAACTCGTACAGGTTGTGTGAAGTCCTCACCCTGCATTTCTCATCTTTAGCTAGAGGTGGCATTTCCCACACCCTTAAAAGCATTTGAGTAATGTAATGAATCACAAAATTTAATATATGTTTCAAAAGTTCTCTTGAGATGTGCCTCTCTTTGTTTTCCAATTCTGGCAAGATATTTCTAAATCACCCCAGTGACAGGGAAAGTTTTTGAAAACATTATACAAAACTAAGCAGGTGCTGGAGGTATGGCTCAAGTGGTAGAACATTTGCCTACCTGGCAAATGTGATGCCCTGAGTTCAAACCCCAGTACCGCCAAAACCCAGCAGATAAAAGGAAAGCAATGAAGGTCTGACTACATAGAAACGTGAAAGGTACCTGTTGTGGTTTAGCTTTTTTTTTTTTCAGTTCTGGGGTTTGAAATCAGAGCCTACATTTCGAGCCACTCCACCAACCCTATTTTTGTGATGGGATTTTTTGAGATAGGGTCTCTCAAACTATTTACCCAGGCTGGCTTTGAACCATGATCTTCCTGATCTCTGCCTCCTGAGTAGCTAGGATGACAGGCGTAAGCCACTGGCACCTGGCATGTCTTACCTCTGCAGTGTCCCTCAAAAAGCTCATGTAGCCGGGTGCCAGGCTGGGCAAATAATCCTGTGAGACCCTATCTCACAAAAACCCCTCACAAAAAAGGGCTGGTGGAGTGGCTCAATGTGTAAGCCCTGAGTTCAAGCCCCCAGTACCGCAAGAAAAAAAAAAAGTTTTTGTATTGAAGGCTTGGTCCCCGTGTTTAGAGGTGAGGCTTTTGGGAAATGATTAGATCACCAGGGGCTCCAGACTTCGTGAGTAAATCAATCCATTGTTGGATTCATAAATTGATGGCATTACTAGAAACATTTGGAGCTGGGGCCTGGTTGAAGTAAGTCACTGAGGGTGACCTTTGAAGGCTCCTTTTTCTTAGTCTCTCTCTCCACTTGACTTCCTGGCTGCCATAAATTAAACAGCACAGTTCCACCACACCACTCCCACGTGATGTTCTGCCTCACTACAGGCCCAGACACATGGAACCAGCTTAGCATGGACTGAAACCTCTGAAACTATGAGCCAAAATAAATCCTTCCTCCTTTAAGTTGTTTTCTAGGTATTTTTTCACAAGGATAAAAAACTGAGTCATACTGGCATCATATACAAATCAGAGGAGGAGCTAATAGCCATCTTATGGAAAAGAGGTGGCTCCACAGTTACTGTGGAAAGATGTCATGGTCACTTCAGATGTCACATGCAAAGCTCCAAGACATTTGCATCAATGTGCTAGGAAAATGGTGGTCAATGTACAGTGGTTATCTCTAGAAAGCGTTGGAAGGAGCTCAATCAAGAGTGAACACTGTCCGGTAGAGTGCCTTCTAGCAAGCATGAAGCCCTGAGTTCAAACCCCAATATCGATAGCAGCAACAAAAGAGTGGACACCATCATTTCTTACTTTAGAAATCTCCATACTGTTCGCATTATTTTGTTTTTGCAGCAAGTATAAATTACTTGTGTGATTGAAAACAACTATAGTTATGCTAATGACAGCTAAGCTTGGTAGAGTGCTCTAGACTGTGCTAAGGGCACTAATTCCATGAATTGCCTCACTTAATCTTAGTAACAATGCTGTGGTACTATTTCCATTTTATAGAAAAAAAACTGAGGCACAGAGATTTTAGAGGATCTGTGACAGAGTTCAAAAGTAGCCCAACTGGCTAAAAAGATACTAAAATACATAACTGTAAAAATGCTATTATCCCCAGAAGAATCATAGTTACTACTGTAGCTTACATCTTTTTTTTGTTTGTTTTCTTTTCTTTTTTGTTTGTTTTGTTTTGTTTTTGAGACAGGGTCTCATTATGTAGCCCAGGCTGGCCTTGAACTCAAGATCCTCCTGCCTCAGCCTCCTGAGTGCTGGGATTACAAGCATATACCACCATTCCTGGCTCTACCCTTTCCTCCTTACAAGTTGATTATCTCAGGTATTTTGTCACAGTGAAAGAAAGCTGACTAGCACTGTTAATATTCTCAGCTTTAGGAAAAAATTTAATGTAAATTTTAATTAAAGAAAAATTAAACCAGTGTTATATTGAGCTCATGATTTTTTTTTTTTTTTGAGACATGGTCTTACCATGTAGACCAAAGCTAACCTGGAACTGCATATGTAGCCCATACATGTACGTGTCTTGATCCTCTTACCTCTGCCTGCAAAGTACTGGGATTATAGGCATGTGCCACCACAGCCAGGCTCATGGATTCTTTCTTTCTTTTTTTTTTTGTGGGTCTGGGACTTGAACTCAGGGCCTTCACCTTGAGCCACTCCACCAACCCTATTTTTGTGAAGGGTTTTTCGAGACAGGGTCTCATGGAACTATTTGCCCCTGCTGGTTTTGAACTGCAATCCTCCTGAGTAGCTAGGATTGAGCCACCAGCGCCCGGCTAAGAAAGTATGATTTTGCTGTTGACTTCATTGTTTTTTTGTTTTTGTTTTTGTTTTTTGTGGTAATAGGGTTTGAACTCAGGGCTTCAGACTTGCTAGGCAGGCTCTCTACCACTTGAGTCACACCTCCAGTCCGGGTTTTTTCGAGATAGGGTCTCAAGAACTGTTTGCCCGAACTGGTTTCGATCTACCATCCTCCTGATCTCTGCCTCCTAAGTAGCTAGGATTACAGGCGTGAGCCACTGGCACCCATCTGGATTATTTCTTTAAAGGCATTACTAAAATAGGCAGACAGCTATCCTGAGTATCTGTGGCCCAGATCCTTTGTGTGTGTTAGAAATATTGTTCATGTATAATATAATAACCCCAGTGCCAGAGTGTTTCATTGCTAAAGTGGCTTGTTTAAAGACCATGAGAGGGAATCATCACTAACAAAAGAATAAGGAAGAA